AATTATGGCAAAAGCAGAATAAGGAAAGCCGAACCTTGGATTTCGTCTTACCATGTTTAGGATGGTTCAAGTATTTCTGTAGTGGAGATGACAGTAGAGAAGTGTAATTGTAGTGTCAGTAGCAGCTAACTTAAAAGTTATCAAAATATAAATATTGATTGTTTTTTTTATGGGCCAGATACCGAAGTAAGTAAAAAACACTTTGTTATGCAGTGTGTATATGCTTATTAAGTATGTCATTTAATGGTGTAGCAGCTCTATGAGGAAATAGTGATTATTTCTCTTATATAATGGAAGAGTATGCTGAAGCTTAGGATTCTTGAGTAACTATCCAAGATTACACTGCTAGTAAATGACTGAGCCAAGAGTCATCCTGGTCTAGGTCATGCGCCTGTCCTGTTATTCATTCATATGTAGTGATCATATATATGAGGTTATGCCATACTTATGAAGAGTGTCTTCTGTGGGCCCTTAGAGAACACTTAAGTAGTGAACAACATATCCTATGATATTCTTATGGTAAAGTAAATATGGCAGTGAGATGTGTTAAATTGTTTTTCGTAAATATTGCTCTGTATTGGCTGAAACCTAACAAAACTACAATTTTGGTTTTGGCCCCTATATCATGTGGACTCTTGAGTGTTAACTAGACTGAGTGGACTGCACTTTTGTCAGATTGCCTTGCTTAGATTGTTTTCTTCTGAGCTATTCTTTGATGATGGATGTTAGTAACTTTGAGGTTATAGTCCCCAGAGGTTCCTGGAAAATACTTGTTTTGACTGGAGAGTGATATATTGAGGTAAAGGAAGGAAGGATTGATATCCTTTTATGAAAGTTGTGCTGCTTAGCACAAATGAAGGAATAAAAGACTATTTTTTCTCTTTATTAGTGAGGGCTGAGGGCAGGGCAAGATTTCCATCAAGTATTAGGTATATGTCTAATCTAAGTTTAATATAAATGGGGAGTTATGCTCCCTAAAATACAGTTTGAGAAGTTGAAAACCAGTGGCCTCTAGGCCATATTCAGCTTGCTATTGATTTTGGTTTTGTTTTGTTTTTATTTTATTTATTTATTTTTTCTTGTTGAGCCAAGATTGTCTTTTTTTTCTTTTTAATTAATTTTTTTATTGAAGGATAAGTGCTTTACAGAATTCTGTTGTTTTCTGTCAAACCTGAACATGAATCAGCCATAGGTGTGTGTATATATATATATATATATATATATTTACCCCTCCCTTTTGAACCTCCCTCCCATCTCCCTCCCCATCCCACCCTCTAGGTTGATATAGAGCCCCTGTTTGAATTTCCTGAGCCATGCAGCAAATTCCGGTTGACTATCTATTTTACATATGGTAATGTTAAGTTTCCATGCTACTCTTCCCATACATCTCACCCTCTCCCCATGTCCATAAGTCTGTTCTTTATGTCTGTTTCTCCATTGCTGCCCTGTAAGTAAATTCTTCAGTACCATTTTTCTATATTCCATATATGTGCATTAGAATATGATATTTATCTTTCTCTTTCTGACTCACTTCACTCTGTGTAATAGGTTCTCAGTTCATCCACTTTGTCAAAACTGACTCAAACACGTTCCTTTCTATGGCTGAGTAATATTCCACTGTGTATATGTACCATAACTTCTTTATCCATTCATCTGTTGATGAACATCTAGGTTGCTTCTGTGTTCTAGCTATTGTAAAGAGTGCTGCAATGAACAATGGGATACATGTCTTTTTCAGTTTTGGTTTCCTCAGGGTATATGCCTAGGAGTGGGATTTCTGGGTCATATGGCAGTTTTATTCCTAGTTTTTTAAGGAATCTCCATACCGTCTTCCATAGTGACTGTTTCAGTTTACATTCCCACCAACAGTGCAAGAGCATCCCCTTTTCTCCACACCCTCTCCAGCATTTATTGTTTGTAGACTTTTTGATGATGGCTATTCTGACCAGTGTGAGGTGATGTCTTATTGTGGTTTTCATTTGCATTTCTCTAATAATGAGCTATGTCAAGCATTTTTCCATGTGTTTGTTAGCCATCTGTATGTCTTCTTTTGAGAAATGTCTGTTTAGGTCTTTTTCCCACTTTTGATTGGGTTCCTTGTTTTTCTGGCATTGAGCTGCTTGTATATTTTGGAAATTAATTCTTTGTCAGTTGTTTCATTTGCTATTATTTTCTCTTATTCTGAGGGTTGTCTTTTGACCTTGCTTAGAGTTTCCTTTGCTGTGCAAAAGCTTTTAAGTTTAATCAGGTCCCACTTGTTTACTTTTGATTTTATTTTCATTACTCTAGGAGGTGGGTCATAGAGGATCTTGCTTTGATTTATGTTGTCAGGTGTTCTGCCTATGTTTTCCTCTGAGAGTTTTGTAGTTTCTTGTCTTACATTTAGATCTTTAATCCATTTTGAGTTTATCTTTGTGTATGGTGTTAGGAAGTGTTCTAATTTCATTCTTTTACATGTAGCTGTCCAGTTTTTCCAGCACCATTTATTGAAGAGGATCTTTTCCCCATTGTATATCCTTGCCTCCTTCATGAAAAATAAAATACCCATAGGTGCATGCATTTACTTCTGGGCTTTCTATCTTGTTCCATTGGTCTATACTTCTGTTTTTGTGCCAGTACCATACTGTCTTGATGACTGTAGCTTTGTAGTATAATCTGAAGCCAGGTAGGTTGATTCCTCCAGCTGCATTCTTTCTCAAGACTGCTTTGGCTATTTGGGGTCTTTTGTGTTTCCATATGAATTACGATATTTTTTGTTCTAGTTCTGTGAAAAAATGCCATTGGTAATTTGACAGAGATCACACTGAATCTGTAGATTGTGTTTGGTAGCATAGTCATTTTCACAATATTGGTTCTTACCCAGGAACATGGAATATCTCTCCATCTGTTTATGTCGTCTTAGATTTCTTTCATTAAGCAAGTAAGTAAGTAAGTAAGTGTTAGTCACTCAGTCATGCCCGACTCTTTGCGACCCCATTGACTAAGGCCACTAGACTCCTCTGTCCATGAGATTTGCCAGGCAAGGATACGGGAGTGGGTTGCCACTTCCTTCTCCAGGGGATCTTCCCAACCCAGGGATCAAACCCTGGTCTCCTGCACTGCAGGAAGATTCTTTACCAACTGAACTACAAAGGAAGCCCGGATTTCTTTCATTAGTGTTTTNCCCCTTCCCTGACAGAGAAGCCTGGCAGGCCACAGTGTACAAGGTTGCAAAGAGTCAGACACAACCGAAGCAACCCTGCACGCTTAGGTGCAAGACTTTTTTTTGCCTGTGGCAGCTCTGCCCCAGTGAGACTTGAGTGTGAAGGTGGTGTACCTGCTTGGCTTGTGGGGACCCTGGGGGCGCCAAGTGTGCAGGGACATGGACTGCCTCCGCCGTAGGAGTTATGGCCCTATCAGAGGCTTTTTTTCCAGCCTCTTGTAGCTGGTGATCAGAAGGCCTCTTTCGCCAGTCTTTGTAGCTCTGCCTGTGCAGGCACATAGAGGGGCCCCCTTGGCTGGGGTCCCCCTCTGCAGATCAGTGCGTCAGGCACTTAAAGGGGTACCCTGGGGTGGGGTCCTACTCTGTAGTTCTCTGTCAGGCGTTCGATGGGCCAGCCTCTATTGTCCAGCTGCTGATGGTGGCACGTGTGGAGAGAGTCTGTGGTGATGGCTCCACCCCCTATGTGTGACTCGGCAGTATTGCCTCGCTTCCGTGGCTGCCCGGCTTTCCTCCACAGGCATTTCCCACCACAGTCTTCTCCCTCACATCCCCTCGATCCGTCTCTCAGCAGTCAACAGCAGCCCCTTGCCCTGGGATTGCTCCACAATCCCTGAACTCCAGCTCCCAGGCAGCGGCCTTTCCAGGGGATCTCTGTCCCTGTCCGGGGTATGTCCGGCTGCATCAAGGACTGCATTCCATTTAGGCGCCACAGAGCAGCTGTTTCACTCTCAGCCTTAAATGTCCACCTCCCTGTCCACCTCCTCCTCTGCTGTCTCGTCCTCCCGGTTTTTAATCTTCTAATAGATCACCAGCCCTTAACATTTGAGAGACTCCACGTAGCGATCCAAGTTTCCGCTGTTTCTCGTAAATTTGGTATTGCACTCTTAACCTCTCTTCCTACCTGGCAGCATTTGGTTGTGTTTAGACAGATCCTGTGTTCCCCAGTTTTCCACAGCGTCCCCCAGCAGGCCTCCTCAGGTACATCACATAGGCCTACATAGCCCTGTGGGTATCGAGCTTTTTTAGCTTGTTTTACAATGCAGAATGTTGCTGTAGAACTGAGATGTTATATAAGCCTTTTAATACCATTTTTCTTAAGGAAAACTGCAGACTTTTGTAAGTATTAACTTTTTATACATTTATGGTAGGTATTTCATAAATTTAATTTTAATAAATGGTTTTGACAAATGGATGTTTTAGCAGCAGCGTACTTGAACATGTGTATTTTTTGGTATGGCATATCTGAGTATATGTAAGTACCATGTCTTTCATTGTTGAAGATCTGGATGATATAAATTTTCGATTTGTTTATTATTAGTAACTTTTTAAAAGTTTTGCTTTTGTAGAAAGAATTTGCTATTTGAAAGTTATGACACTGACTCTAAATCAAGGATTTATATCATAATCCTTTCATGCTTGTTTTTTTCTTGATAGACTGCTGTGTCAGTGATGAGTTAGTTTTTGTAAAATATAAAACTAAAAATAAATATGCTTAATTATATAATGCTAGATTAAGAATTTGTCTATAGAAAAGCATATAGTCATTCAAGGTTTTTTAAAATAAAACTATTGGCGTTGTGTTGGTTATTTTTCTAGAACTTAGACTTAAAATATTGATTTTTGTCTAAATTTTATGTACTGATTTATTTATTTATTTATTTTTCCTTTTAAAAAATTTGATGGTTCTTTTTTTCTATCTTTTTTTTCATTTATTTTTATTAGTTGGAGGCTAATTACAATATTGTAGTGGTTTTTGCATATAATAATGAATTTTGGTCAAACTTCTTTATGATTTCAGAACAAAAATTGCCCAAGATATTGAGAGGCTAATACATCAGAGTGATATCATAGATCGAGTGGTATATGACTTAGATAACCCAAAGTAAGTCTCATTTTTGTGTTTTAGTTTTGTTGGTTTTATTCTTATCTTAAAATTTCAGTGTTCTTTTAAAAGACAAAGAAATATAGTTAACTTCCACCTAGTTAAGCCTCACTCTATTTTTATCTTTTAGCAGAGATGTAATGGTAATATAAATCATGTTTATTTAGTTAAATTGAGTGTGCTACAAATTTAGTTTTTCTTATGTGGGCTTTTAATGGGTTTAATAAGGGAAACATCACAAATTGATGCTTTGTTTTTAAACACTGAAACTACCTCCACTTAAGATAATGGAGATTTCATACCAATGCTGCAGTTTTGTCCTGTAATACTGAGCCTTCCTCTCCTTAGGACAACAAATTACCATCCCCTTTAGAAGGAAAATATGCTTGCTAATTTTCCACAGTCCCAACTTCTCACTTTTGACTCTTACTGCTTACAATCGGCTTCAATCGTTTTATGCTACTTGCCTGACTTTTGAAGCCATTGGTTTGTGATCCCTGGTGGCCCAGTGGGTAAAGAATCTACCTGCAGTGCAGGAGACTGGGTTTCGACTCCTGAGTCTGGAAGATCCCCTGGAGAAGGAAATGGCAAGCCACTCCAGTATTTTTGCCTGGAAAACCCCATGGACAGAGGAGCCTGGTGGGCTGTATTTCACGGGATTTTAAGAGTCAGACATGACTTGGCAATTAAACCACAACAATGTTTTAGTGTAATTTCCAATTTAGAGTTATCACTGGTGCCATTGCATTTAATGATTTTGTTGTTGTTGTTGATTCAGTCACATCTGACTCTTCGCAACCCCATGGACTGCCTCACGCCAGGCTTCCCTGTCGTTCACCATCTCCCAGAGCTTGTTCAAACTCATGTCCATTGAGTCAGTGATGCCATCTAGCCGTCTCCTTCTCCTCCCGCCTTCAATCTTTCCCAGTATTAGGGTCTTTTCTAATGAGTCAGCTCTTCGCATCAGGTGGCCAAAGTATTGGAGTTTCAGCTTCAGCATCAGTCCTTCCAATGAACACCCAGGGCTGATCTCCTTTAGGGTGGACTGGTTGGATCTCCTTGCAGTTCAAGGGTCTCTCAAGAGTCTTCTCCAACACCACAGTTCAAAAGCATCAGTTCTTCGGCATCCAGCCTTCATTACGATCCAACTCTCTTATCTATACATGATTAAACTTCTCATTACTGGAGACAAATGATTTAATAGTAGTCATATTCATCATTTTTGTTTTCATTTATTTACTTATATATAATTCATTAGGTGCCATTGCATTTGTCTCCAGTAATGAGAACTTTAATCAGCCCACGAGTGGGTTTTCCCTTTCTCTCCTTCAACATTCTAATATTTTGAAGAGATTTTATATTTCATTAGTCTTATTTGGAGGAAATAAAACATTTAAAAAGATTTTTGTTTAGAGTCAGGGTAAAATTATGTCAGAACTAATGACTGAATTTGAAATAACATTCTCAAAAATAAAAAACAAATCTGTTCATAATTTCTTAGTTATTCCAATGTTTTTAATTCTGTGTTAGACCAGACAAATGTGGTAACACAGAACCTCAAGAACTCTTTGAGTGTAGCATATTCTTGTTGTTTAGTTGCTCAGTCATGTCCGACTCTGTGCGACCCTGTGGACTGTAGCCCGCCAGGATCCTCTGTCCATGGAATTCTCCAGGCAAGAATAGTGGAGTGGTTTGCCATTTCCTCTTTCAGGAGACCTTCCAGACTCAGGGAAGTGTCGCATGCCAGTGCTATTTCTAACTGAAATGACTTTGGACAAAAGCATTGGTCTTCTGGGAGTCTTCATTTTCCCCCATTAGAATGTAAGCTCTAGAAGAGCAAGAATTTGTGTTCAGTCAGGGAAATAAATGACTAAAACAGTATTTGGCACCTAGTAGGAGCTCAATAAATACTTGCTAAAGTAAGCAATATGTAAAATGAGAATAATACCTCCAACTTTTGGGTACTAATTAGATTAGATAATAGATAATGAAGCTCTCTAAATTAAAAAAATAGTTTTACCTGAGAACTGCATAGTTTCTAGAATTATTAGTACTCAATACAAGTCATATACACTTAAAAAAATAACGGGTCTTTTCCATAAGATTACTAATATTTAGAAACGGTATCTAATGAGATGAAACTTTTTGTGATTAATATTCACTAAATAATTGTGGGGGAAATCTCTGTAACTATAATATTTTATTCTGTAAATATTAGCCAGAGTTTGTAGTTTGTTGTGTTGATTTTGTTCTTTGGCTTAAAAATAATGAGGAGGGTGAGCGAGCAATAATGGTGCATTTTTAATCTATAGTGTAGTTTTGTTTTTGCTCACTTGTTTAAATGCTATGTATTTTTTATTCTTACTTTAAAATTTTATTTAGCTATACCATTCCAGAAGAAGCAGATGTTTTGAAGTTTAACTCCAAATTTGAATCTGGGAATCTGCGTAAAGTAATTCAAATTAGAAAGTAAGTCACTAAAATTCTTCTCATTTTGTTTGTGTACAGATATTTTCCTAATTTTCATCAAGTTTGTTTATTTTCTATTTTCAGAAATGAATATGACCTTATTCTGAACTCAGACATAAATAGCAATCATTATCATCAGTGGTTTTACTTTGAAGTCAGTGGAATGCGACCAAGTATTGCTTATAGGTTCAACATCATTAACTGTGAAAAGTCCAACAGTCAGTTTAATTATGGTAAGACACCATTTCATCCGAATTGAATACAACTAAAGATTTATTACATATGCTACTTAGAATAGAGTTTTTAATGAAGTCTGTTCATCCAGATGAGAATTACATAAAGCAATCTCTTTTTTAACTTTTTTATTTTGAATAGAGGCATAAAAAGTTAAAAGAGTTGTAGAAGTTGCAGAAAAGTTCCATGTTCCCTTCACCAAGTTTCCTCTAATGGTTACATCCTACGTAACTGTACTAGAATGCCAAAGCCAGGGCGTGGCGTTGGCGCAGTGTGGTTGTATAATTCTGTGCCTTTTTATTACATTTGTAGATTCTTATTATTGTCACCACAACTAGGATAGAGAATTCTTTCAGTACCGTCAAGCCTGTGCTACTCCTTTAGAGTTCACCCTTCAGTTGTAGTTTTCTGTAAATTTTAAAATCTAATTGAAGAAGTTTCCTTTTATTACTAGTTTACTGAGTTTTTTTTATAAATGGGTATTAAATTTTGGCACATGCTTTTTTTTTTCATTTATTTTTATTAGTTGGAGGCTAATTACTTTACAACATTGTAGTGGTTTTTGTCATATATTGACATGAATTAGCCATGGATTTACAACACACATGCTTTTTTTCATCAAATGATCATGTGAATTTTCTTCTTTAGCCTGTCAAAATGGCATGTTACATTGATTCAATTTTGAATACTGAACCAGCCTTTTTTATCTGTGAACTGAATTAAATATGTGAATTATAGTCATTGTATATAATTGCTAATGTTTTTTTAAAGGATAAGAATTTTTAAATTTCTATCCAAGAGGTATATTGAGATACACACACACACACACACACACACACACACACACACACACATATATGTTTTTTGGTATCATATCTGATTTTGGCATATCATGGTAACAATTACTTCTAAAACTAGTTGAGTAATACTCCCTCCTCTTATTTTATGGAAGAGCTTGTGCGTATTTGGTGTTAATTCTTAAATGCTTGGTAGAATTCTCAGGAGAAATCATCTGGGCCAGGAGATTTCTTATTTGGTACTCTTTTAAATTAGAGATTAAATTTCTTCTCTAATAGTTTTAGGACTATTCAGATTATCTGTTTCACCTTGAGTGAGTTATAGTAGTTTGTTCTTTATAGGAATTGATCAGTTTCTTCTAAATTTTCAAATGTGTGTGTAAAGTTGTTCATAGTATTTTCTTACTGTCTTTAATATCTTCAGGGTCTCTAGTGATATCCTGTGTTTAATTCCTGACAATAGTAACTTGTGTCTTGTCTTTATTTTTCTTGGTCAGTTTTGTTGATATTTTAAAGAACCAGCTTTTTGTTTCACTGTTTTTCTCTACTGTTTTTCTCATGAGGCAGTTTTTAAAAACTCTAGGGCTGTACCAGCAAAAAAGCTATATTTATAGCATCATTTAAGGCTTTGTACTTATTAGTACTTTAATAGATGTCAAACTTGGGGTTATTTGCCAAGGCATCAGGTTTTTATAGTCAGGTATTATTTCAATGGAAGATTATTTAATTGTATAAACTTAATATCAGTAATTGAAAATTAAGCCATCAAGTTTTAAGTATTTATTTGATGATAATTTTGTGTAAAAAAATTTTTTTTCTGGTGTATGGAGATAGAAGAGCTTAAACAGCTAAGGCATGACATGCTATATTATCTATTTCAGATAAATGTTCTAAAATGTCAAAAGCATGAATATGATGATACTCTATAAGGGGACATTTCTGAAAATTGAAGCTTTCAAGATTTGATTCTTCCCAATTGTCATTATTTATATGGAAAACAGAAAACTGTATTCTCCAGATAATTATTTTACATACATAGGATAAAGCTTTAGTCAGATTCACTATTTAATGTAATAATTATGGGAAGATAAGGCTCATAATATCTGGTTTAGTTATAAACATTTTTAAAGTTTTAAAAATGTTTTAAGTAATCTAATTTTAAATTATGTATTCTTATAAAAATATATTTTGACTAAGGCTTCAGTGGTTATATTGACTTACCTGAATAGTGATATGAATATTCTTGGTAAAATCTTGTTTTATTTTTTTACTTTTGGATATGACTGCTAATCATTGAATGTCCTATTTTTTAGAAACATTTGTTGACCTTAAACTTTCATATAACTTAAAAAATTACCTTAATTGAAAAATCATTCAAAATAATACCAAAATAAGTAAAGAATCTTATGTTTTCCCTATTTAACTCATAAATATTCAATATAATACTAACAAAATATTTTACAGGAGTGAAGGACAATTATGAGTAAAATATAAAGGAATATTTATTCCAGAAATGATAGAGAATATCCAAGTACTAGTGCTATAGGTAGATGGTATCTTTATTTATATTTTTTTATTTATATTTTTTTATTGACTTTTATAAAATAGTACACTAAGCTTTATTAAAATGCTTTAATTTTTACAATTAAAAGCACATATTTTGGAGTGATATTTCTCTATTAAAAAAACTATTTCTGTGTGATAATTTCTTCCTTTAGTGTCATTTTAAATTTAAAATGAATAATATTCTGTAACTAAAACCAAGTCAAAACATTGAGACAGATGGCTGCTCTAGTTTTTAAGTTTCCCCTCCTTTTTACCCTTTGCCCACTGGGTATATTCTTGTTTGTATTGCTATTAATATATCATACTTTCCAAACTCACTTTGTAGAAAATCTGGAAAACAGAATGTTGTTAAGAAGAAAATTAAAAGCATCAACAGTACATCATCCAAAAAAATTTATTTTAATGTTTGTTATTTCTTTCCAGCTTTTTTTAAATAATGCATTATGTGATCTTTCCATACATATAGTTATGTGTTTTTTTAAAAAAATGCTCATAACCCACACAGTTTCATAACCTGCATCTTAACTAAACATTATATCACCATTATCATTAAACAAATACTCCTCTGAAGCATAGTTTAATGGATATCTTAGAGAAGTTCCATAACTCATTTATCCAACTCTTCCTTTGTTAGACTTTTAAGCCCTTTTTATTTTGATTCTAGTTTTACTGAGATTAATTGACCTACAGCACTGTGTAAGTGTAAACTACAGCATATGATCTGACTTATAAAGTGATTACAAAGTTTAGTGATCCTATTACACCTTAGGTTATATCTAATTATTTTCTACTTTAGCTACTACTGAGATGAACATTATTGTATTATACTAAATATCTGTGTGTGTAGTAATTTACTTATGTATTCACAGAAGTGGAATTTCTTTATCTGTCTTCCAGTTCTAAGTGTTTTTTTGTTTGTTTGTTTTTGTTTTTTGGATTATGAAACTGTGGATCATATGGGATCTACTATTCCAAATAAGGGAATATGGTAAATAAATAAACTTTAGAGAAGATTCTCTAAGAAGGAAATAGAAGATAAAATCCACTATTTAGCATTTTGTTATCCATCCTTAATCTTACTCATATTCACATAATTTTGAAATTAAATTTTATCCTTTTATACATTTGGGTTCAAAATATGAGAATTCATTATACACTATGTTTTTAAACCATACAATATGTGGTAATAACATTTCCCCATGCCATGAAACACCAGTACCAAAATCAGATTGATTGTATTCTTCGCAGCCAAAAATGGAGAAGCTCTATATGGGCAGCAAAAACAAGACCTAGAGCTGACTGTGGCTCAGATCATGAGCTCCTTATTGCAAAATTCAGCTTTAAATTGAAGAAAGTAGGGAAAACCACTAGAATCCCTTATAGTTACACAGTGGAGGTGGCAAACAGATTCAAGGGATTAGATCTGATAGACAGGTTGCCTGAATAACTAGGAATGGAGTTCATAACATTGTACAGAAGGCAGTGACCAAAACCATCCTTCCCCCCAAAAAATGCAAGAAGGCAAAGTGGTTGTCTGAGGAGGCTTTGTAGCTGAGAAAAGGGGAGAAGCAAAAGGCAAAGGAGAAAGGGAAAGTTACGCCCAACTGAATGCAGAATTCAGAGAATATCAAGAAAAGATAAGAAAGCCTTCTTAAATGAACAGTGTGGTGAAATAGAGGAAAACAATAGAACGGGAAAGGCTAGAGATCTCTTCAAGAAAATTTGAGATATCAAGGAAGCACTTAATGCAAGGATGGACATGATAAGGGACAGAAAAGTTAAAAGGACCTAACAGAAGCAGAAGAGATTTAAGAATCTGTGGCAAGAATACAGAGAACTATAGAAGAAAAGTCATAATGACCTGGAAAACCACGATGGTGTGGTCACTGATATAGAGCCAGACATCCTGGAGTGTGAAGTCATGTTGGCCTTAGGAAGCGTTACTATGAACAAAGCTAGTGGAGGTGATGGAATTCCAGTTGAGCTATTTCAAATCCAGAAGGTGATGCTGTGAAAGTGCCGCACTCAATATGCTAGCAAATTTGGAAAACTCAGTAGTTGCCACAGGACNCTTGAAACTCAGCATTAGAAAACTAAGATCATGGCAATTGGTCCCATCACTTCCTGGGAAATAGAAGGAAAGAGTGGAAGCAGACACCACAACTCTCATCAACTTCTGGCCCTCATGAAACTCTGGGATTTGTTTGGGAGCTTTGTTGTGTTGTGTTGCTCTAGCATCACTGCTGGAGAAGGAAATGGCAACCCGCTCCAGTGTTCTTGCCTGGAGAAGCCCAGGGACGGGGGAGCCTGGTGGGCTGCCGTCTGTGGGGTCGCGCAGAGTCGGACACGACTGGAGCGACTTAGCAGCAGCAGCATCACTGGATTTTAATTGTTCTGATCTTGCAGTCTCGTGCGCCATCCTTGTTGCTGTCATGTCACTTTGTTTTTTAGGTTATTTTGACTTCATAAAATAGCTTAACATTCTGTAGTCTTTTTCAAAAATGATTTAACAGTTTTTTCTAACTTTATTTTTCCTGAATATTTTTTCTCAGTATTATTCTGAATAATTTTATCAGACACCCTCAAATTTCCATTGCATAAACTTATAGAATAATGTGGAAGAAACTGGATTTCTT